AACAGGATTGAGTCTGTTCAGACAAACTGCCCTTATGTCACGAATACAACACACAGGTGTTGAGAGAAAAGGCGTGAAATGCCTTCCATAGGGACCATTGTCTCCGCAGCTCCCTCGTCCGCTCCACATTCCCCACTAGCCCCACCACCCCCGGCACCTTTCCCTGCAACCGCAGGAGGTGTTACACCTGCCCCTATACCTTCCCCCTCACCTCCATCCCAGGCACCAAACAAACCTTCCACATCAGACAGATGTTCACCTGCACATCCACTAATGTGGTCTATTGCATCCGCAGCTCCCGATGTGGTCTCCTCTACATCGGTGAGACCAAGCAGAGACTTGGAGACTGTTTTGTAGAGCATCTGCGCTCTGTTTGCGACAAACAAAAACACCTTCCACGCGAACCTCTTCAACTCCCCCTCCTACTCCCTGGGTGACATGTCCATCCTGGGCCTGCTCCAGTGACACAATGATGCCACCTGGTAACTGGAGGAGCAGCACCTCATATTCCACCTTGGGGGCCTACAACCCAATGGCCTAATATGGACTTTACCAGTTTCAAAATCTCCCCACACCCCCACCACCCCCCCTGCCCACCGCCCTGCCCCCGCCACCCCCGGCCTCATCCCATGACCAACCCTCCGTCTCATCCCCGTCTCCTTGATCTGACACAACCTGACATAACCTGTCCATCTTCTCTCCCACCTATCCATCCTCCCACCTCACCGACCAATCCCCACCACTCCCCACCTGCACTCACCTATCACCATCCCACCTACCTTCCCCAGCCTCACCCTCCCTCTATTTATTTCTGAGCTCCCTTCGCCCTCCCCCATTTCTGAAGAAAGGTCCCAACCCGAAACATCAACATTCCTGCTCCTCTGATGCTGCCTGGCCTGCTGTGTTCCTCCAGCTCCACAATGTGTTATCTCTGACTCCAGCATCTGCAGTTCTTACAATCTCTGAAATGCAAGTGGCTTGGTTTGCACAATTGCATTTCTTTATATTGGAGAAAGAAGGTTGTAAAAGAGAGTACATGATGCAATTCTTTAAAATACTGAGAGCTAAGATCCAGTCAATGTAATTGAGATTTTGGTGAGAACAGCTTCATTCTGGATCATTGCACAACCTGACTCTGAAGCTGAGCACAGTGAGACACCTACTGGACATTTGATGGTACATGGAGTTCCATTCTCACTCAATGGCAAAAACCGATTAAAAAGGGATCTCTTTCTTATATTCTGAAATGATTTAAAATGTAATGGATAGGAATGGAGCTTGATATGGGGTGCTGCTGAGAATTGTTTAGAAGCAGAAATTGGGTTCTATCAGATCAGAATTAATCACGCAGCTATTTGTCTCAGTGAGGTGGTGACTGTATAAAAGTAGCCTTAGATCAAGGGAACAAGGTGCAGGGCTGGATGAACACAGCAGGCCAAGCAGCATCATAGGAGCAGAGAGGCTGACGTTTCGGGCCTAGACCCTTCATCAGAAAAGGGGGAGGGGAAGGGGGTTTTGAAATAAATAGGGAGAGAGTGGGAGGCGGATAGAAGAGGGATAGAGGAGAGGATAGGTGGAGAGGCCTCCTCCCACCTCAAGCCGCACCCCCATCTCCTACCGACCAACCTCATCCCGCCCCCTTGACCTGTCCGTCCTCCCTGGACTGATCTATCCCCTTCCTAACTCCCTACCTACACTCACCTTTCCTGGCCCCATCCCCGCCTCTTCAACCTGTTTGTTTCCTCTCCACCTATCCTCTCCTCTATCCCTCTTCTATCCGCCTCCCACTCTCTCCCTATTTATTTCAAAACCCCCTTCCCCTCCCCCTTTTCTGATGAAGGGTCTAGGCCCGAAACGTCAGCCTCTCTGCTCCTATGATGCTGCTTGGCCTGCTGTGTTCATCCAGCCCTGCACCTTGTTGTCTCGGATTCTCCAGCATCTGCAGTTCCTACTATCTTAGATCAAGGGAGCAGTTTTGTGCCCTGCTGAGAAGCTAGAGGAATGTCACAGCAATGCTGCATGGGAATCTTTGACAGATGCTCAGCAGGGAGCTCCCTGCAATGTTGCTGGTCAGACACACACTCATTTTGAGCAGAAAGTGGCAGCTTGCCAGCAGAGAGGGCTTAGGACTGAGCAGGCCACTGCAGATACAGAAGTGGATGGGAAGGGTGGGGCCAGTCATGATGGTTTTGTGACTGGGTACAGATTTCGCATTGAGAATACCCTCCATCATGTTGTAAGACACTATCACTATGTTAAATGGGGCGGACTTCAATCAGATCTAGCAACTCAAGACCAGGCATCCATGAGGTGCTGTGGGCCATCAACAGCAGCGGGCTTGTACTCCAGCACAATCTGTAACCTCATGGTCCAGCATATCCCCCACTCAACCATTACCATCAAACCAGGGGATCAACCCTGGTTCAATGGAGAGTGCAAGAGGGCACGCCAGGAGCAGTAACAGGCATCCCTAAAAATGAGGTGTCAACCTGGTGAAGCCACCAGGCAGGACTACTTGCACGCCAAACAGCAAAAGCAGCAAGTGATAGACAGAGCTAAACGATCCCACAACCAACAGATCATATCTAAGCTCTGCACTCCTGCCACATCCAGTCGTAAATGGTGGTGGACAATTAAACAACTCACTGAAGGAGGAGGCTCCACAAACATCCCCATCCTCAATGATGGAAGAGCCCAGCACATCACTGCAAAAGGTATGTTTGAAGAATTCTCAGCAATCTGCAGCCAGAAGTGCCAAGTGGATGATCCACCTCGGCCTCCAGTAGTCCCCAGCATCACACATACCAGTCCTCAGCCAATTCAATTCTCTTAACAGGAAATCAAGAAATGTTTGGAGACACTGGATACTGCAAAGGCTATGGGCCCTGGCAATGTTCCAGCAATAGTACTGAAGACTTAAGATCCAGAACTTGCCGCTCCTTTAGCCAGGCTCATCTAATACAGTTGCAACGCTGGCATCTATCGGACAATGTGGAAAAAGCAGGGTACATCCAACCCAGCCCATTATCACTCCATCAGTCTACTCTCAATCATCAGTAAAATGATGGAAGGTGTCATCAACAGTGCTACTGAGCAGCATCTGTTCAGAAATAACCTGCTTAGTGACACCCAGTTTGGGTTCCACCGGGGCCACTCAGCTCCTGACCACATTATAGCCTTGATTCAAACATGGACAAAAGAGCTGAAAACCAGACGTAAGGTGAGAGTGACAGACCTTGACATCAAAGCTGCATTTGACCGAGTGCAGCATTAATGGGCCCGAGCAAAACTAGAATCAATGAGTATTAGGAGGCAAATTCTCCTTTAGTTGGAGTCATACCTGGCAGATAGGAAGATCGTGGTTGTTGGAGGTCAGACAGCTCCACAACATCATTGCGCGAGTTCCTCCAGGTCGTGTCCTAGGCCCAACCATCTGCAGCTGCTTCATCAATGACCTTTCGTCCATCATAAGGTCAGAAGTGGAAATGTTCGCTGATGATTGCACAATGTTCAGCACCATTTGTGATTCCTCAGATACTGAACCACTCCATGTTCAAATGTAACAAGACCTGGACAATATCCAGGCTTGGGCTGACAGGTAGCAAGTAATATTCGTGCCACACAAATGCCAGGCTATGACCATTTGCAATAAGAGACAATCGAATCACCACTCCCTGACATTCAATGGTGTTATCATCACTGAATCCCTCACTACCAACATCCTTGGGGTTACCATTAACCAAAAACTCAACTGGACTCACCACATAAACACTGTGGCTACAAGAACAGGTCAGAGGCTAGGAATATTACAGTGAATTACTCAGATCCTGATTCCTCAAAGCCTTTCCATCACGTACAAGGCACAAGTCAGGAGTGTGATGGAATACTCACCACTTGCCTGGATGAGTGCAGCCCCAACAACACTCAAGAAGCCTGATACCATCCAGAATAAAGCAGATGGCTTGATTGGCACTACATCCACAAGCATCCACTTCTTCCACCACTAACACTCAGTGGCAGCACTGTGTGAACTATCTATAAGATGCACTGCAGAAATTCACCAATGATTCTTAGACAGCACCTTCCAAACCCATCTGGAAGGACAAGGACAGCAGATACGTGGGAACACCAGCACCTGCAAATTCGCCTCCAAGCCACTCACCATCCTGACTTGGAAATATATCGCCGTTCCTTCACTGTCACTGGCTCAAAATCCTGAAATACCCTCCCTAAGGATATCATGGGTCAACCTACAGCAGATGGACTGCAGTGGCTCAAGAAGGCAGCTCACCACCATCTTCTCGAAAGCAACTAGGGCGATAAATCCTAGCCAGCCAGTGACATCCATGTCCCAAGAGTGAAATTGTTTTAAAATTGTGGATTCTCTACAAGATATTTGAAGTTAAATTAGTTCAGCAGTTAAAAAGGGAACTGATTAATTATCTTATTAAAACAAAATTTAGTTAATTATCTTGCTTGTAATGTGTTTGTAAACTGCAAGGTGAACAGTGCATGGACTACTGGCATAAACAAGTTAGAGACAGGACCACATTAAAACAGTGCAGCAACCCTTTTGTAATATTTCCAACTTTTGATGCCCGTTGTGGCCCCAAAACCAACTCAGTCAAGTGAGTAACCCAATTGTTTTTAACAATCTGCCCAATCTGTTTCTGTTGGATAAATAGAGTTAAAAATTGGCCCCAGGACTTTTTTGCTTTTCATGGCCTAATATCAGACCACATGAAATGCAGTCAATCATTGCACTGCACCAGCACAGAAAACAAGTTTTTTTTTTATCTAGACTAGTGGTTTCTATCAAGCAAAAGCTGTCTGAAATGAGAAAGACAGGAGGTGGGAAAGTTAGCTTGTAAAATTAAAATATTTTATAAATCAAACCATGTAACCCAGTTATACCTAGTGCTAAGTAATCATGTCACCAAACTACGCACATCACCAATTTAGTAACGCTTCATTAATTAATTGACTTTTCCTGCTTTTACCTTGCCCTTTCTCAAGCTTTTTAGTGTGTCCCCAAACTTTTGAATATTTCCGCTTGGTGCCACATTCTGGACAAGTCCCACCGAATGCCTTCTGTTATGCTGTTTAATTAGCTCCCACTCTAACCACTCTGGATGCTCCTCTTGTTCAGCCTGTGAAAACCACCCAATGGGAGTCAGGCCCCGTCTGGTTCCTGGAATTGATGTCTTTGCACGTGCTTGTGAAGATTTAATTCTGGGTATTGTAAGCTTGACTGTGTCAGATCTGATGTCATGAAAAATGCTGAAACACAATGAAAAATTAAATAAACAATAGCATTGTCTGAATTTGCATTTTTCTTCACAGTAAATCATCTGGAGTGTATTTTGTTATGGACCAGACCAAACCCCCTCAAAGTATTCAGAAGATAGTCTGGTCCTTACCTTTTCTCTTATTTTAATGGTAAATGTAAAGTGTTACATTCCAGATGCAATTCAATTGGTCAAAATACCCGAGGTAAAGCAAACTACTTTATTCATCCACTCTAGTTAAAAATACAACAAAAGAAAGAAGAAATTGGAATTAACTCTATTGGAAAACTAAACAGAATAATAGGTATCATAACTATTAATAATTAACTATTCCAATATAGTAACATCCCATAACTACACCCTTGGAAAAAGGCAATTCCAGGAAACAGATTGTCTCATATGTAACTCGTGTAACAGGCAGAGAAACCCCAGCTTTTGGCTGTAACTGAAAGAGGGGAAAAAAAGCTTCCATTTCTTCCAGACGTCAAAAGCAACTGCTGAAAGCTAAACTAAAAACCCTGGTTCTCCGAGAACTTGACCACACTAATGCAGGCTGCTTCTATTGTTTCAACTTAAAAAAAAAACAAGGCCTCACAAGCTATTTACTTTTTTACAGACTGCTCGTAATCTTGCATTCAATCTCACTTTCAAAATAAACAGGACAAAATAACTTCTTAAAGCCACAGTACTATCATATTACTGGACAAGAAATTGCTTTTTTTTTTGCTTTGTTATTGTACTTTGCATGATTGCTGGGTGGAGAGTTGTTAACTAAACTTTCTTGGCCAAGTTAAAATGTACACTTTAAAGTCCACACTATGGGATATTAATGAGCTGACAGTAATAATCATTCTGGTAATCAGGAATGAAATCCAATCATGAGCTATTTAAAATGTCAAGCTGGGAAGGGCAGGGTTGTTGCTGAAGAATGAAAGTCAAGTTTATCGAGGATGTGCTAGAAACTCTATTAGGAAAAGAAAGGGAGAATGGATGTGTATCCAAAGTCCCCACTCCAATACATCAACATTTCGTATTTGGCTCTGTCTTCCTCCCATGCTGATCTTTCTGTCCAGTATCAGTTATAGATAGTTATCCAGTGAAGCCCATCTCAAGGCTAAGAATCAGCCTGGGAGAATCAATATATGCTAGTGGGTTGTTAGTGGTCACAGCCCACGCGATGACAAGGCCTGGCGTGTGGGGGTTGAGGTAAGGACATAAGAGATGATGCTCAATGAAATAACTCCACAGAGGCTGGTATCCTGTCACCAAGACATCCTTTATTTACACATGGAGAGTCCTTGACTCTAATCCAGCTTCCTCAGAGCCAGCTCTCATTGTAAACAGAACCTCTGACACTCCTGTTTGTATCTGCCATCCAGGGCTCCCTGATTGGATCAAATTAACAGCTCTAATCAGGGAACTCAAATTCTATGATGTCCACATGGCTAACATTGTTACAATCACTACACTCAGATCCTAAAATTGTTGAACTCGATATTGAGTTCAGAAGGTGGCAGGGTTCCCAAGTGGAAAACGAGGTGTTTACTTTCTCCTGTGGGGGCATTGAATATAAAAAGTCAGTAAGTCATTTTGAAGCTGTACAAAACTTAAGTTAAGCCACATTTGGAGTACTGAGGGCAGTTCTGGTCACCACACTATAGGAAGGATGTGGAGGCTTTGAGATGGTGTAAATGAGAACACCACCCACGCCCTCCACCTCCTCCAGAACTTCCAATTCCCCGGTCCCCAACACCTCATCTTGACCATGGACGTTCAGTCCCTATACACCTGCATTCCCCATACAGATGGCCTAAAGGCCCTCCGCTTCTTCCTGTCCCGCAGGCCCGACCAGTCCCCCTCCAATGACACCCTCATCCGCTTAGCCGAACTCGTCCTCACCCTTAACAACTTCTCTTTCAATTCCTCCCACTTCCTACAGACAAAGGGGGTGGCCATGGGTACCCGCATGGGCCCAAGCTATGCCTGCCTCTTTGTAGGTTACGTGGAACAATCCCTCTTCCGTACCTACACCGGCCCTAAACCCCACCTCTTCCTCCGTTACATTGATGATTGTATCGGCGCCGCCTCGTGCTCCCACGAGGAGCTCGAACAGTTCATACACTTCACCAACACCTTCCACCCCAACCTTAAGTTTACCTGGACCATCTCTAATACCTCTCTCCGCTTCCTGGACCTCTCTGGCTCCATCTCGGGCAACCACCTAGAAACCGATATTCATTTCAAGCCCACCGACTCCCACAGCTACCCAGAATACTCCTCCTCCCACCCACCTTCCTGCAAAAATGCCATCCCCTATTCCCAATTCCTTCGCCTCCGCCGCATCTGCTCCCAGGATGAGGCATTCCACTCCCGTACATCTCAGTTGTCCTCGTTTTTCAAGGACCGTAACTTCCCCCCCTCAGTGGTCGAGAACGCCCTCAACCGTGTCTCCCACATCTCCCGCAACTCATCCCTCACACCCCGTCCACGCAATAAGCACCAAAAAAGAATCCCCCTCGTCCTCACGTACCACCCCACCAACCTCCGGATCCAGCGCATCATCCTCCGACACTTCCGCCATCTGCAATCCGACCCCACCACCAAAGACATCTTTCCCCCCCCACCCTTATCTGCTTTCCGGAGGGACCACTCTCTCCGTGACTCCCTTGTCCGCTCCACACTCCCCTCCAGCCCCACCACACCCGGCACATTTCCCTGCAACTGCAGGAAGTGCTACACCTGCCCCCATACCTCCTCCCTCACCCCCATCCCAGGCCCCAAGAAGACTTTCCACATCAAGCAGATGTTCACCTGCACATCTGCCAATGTGGTATACTGCATCCGCTGTACCCGGTGTGGCTTCCTCTACATCGGGGAAACCAAGCAGAGGCTCGGGGACCGCTTTGCAGAACATCTACGCTCGGTTCGCAATAAACAACTGCACCTCCCAGTCGCGAACCATTTCAATTCCCCCTCCCATTCCTCAGACGACATGTCCATCCTGGGCCTCCTGCAGTTCCACAACGATGCCACCCGAAGGTTGCAGGAACAGCAACTCATATTCCGCTTGGGAACCCTGTAGCCCAATGGTATCAATGTGGATTTCACAAGCTTCAAAATCTCCCCTCTCCCTACCGCATCCCAAAACTAGTCCAGCTTGTCCCCGCTTCCCTAACCTGTTCTTCCTCCCACCTATCCCCTCCTCCCACCTCAAGCCGCACCCCCATCTTCTACCTACTAACCTCATCCCACCCCCTTGACCTGTCCGTCCTCCCTGGACTGACCTATCCCCTCTCTAACTCCCCACCTACACTCACCTTTACTGGCTCCATCCCCGCCTCTTCGACCTGTTTGTTTCCTCTCCACCTATCCTCTCCTCTATCCATCTTCTATCCGCCTCCCACTCTCTCCCTATTTATTTCAGAACCCCCTTCCCCTCCCCCTTTTCTGATGAAGGGTCTAGGCCCGAAACGTCAGCCTTTCTGCTCCTATGATGCTGCTTGGCCTGCTAAGTTCATCCAGCCCTGCACCTTGTTGTCTCGGATTCTCCAGCATCTGCAGTTCCTACTATCTCTTACCAAGATGTTGCCTGGTTTGGAATGGATTAGCTATTATGAGAGGCTGGACATACTTGGATTGTTTTTGCTGGAGTAGCCTGAGGGGCAACCTGATAGAAGTATATAAAAGTATGTGAGGCATGGATAGGGTGGATAGTCAGGCTCTCTTTCCCAAGGAGGAAATGTCAAATACTTGAGGCCATAGGTTTAAGGTTTAAGGTTGAAGGGAAAAGTTTAAAGGAGATGTGCAAAGAAAATTTTTGCTTTTACACAGAGGGTGGTAGGTGTCTGCAATATGCTGCCCAGGGAGGTGGTAGAATCAGATACAATAGCAATATTTAAGAGGCATTTAGACAGACATAAGAACAGGCTGAGAATAGAGAAATGCAGACCATGTGCAAGCAGATGGAATTAGTTTGGAATGGTATCATGGTTGTCACAGATTAAAGGCGAGCCGAAGGACCTGTTTTTGTGCTGTACTGTTCTATGTTCTGTGTAAGTAAATAAAATAGAGACGCAGGGCCAGGTGATGTGTTGTACCTGCATGGTGTGGGAGCTGGTAGACCCCACTGTGGTTCAGAGTGACCACATCTGTAGCAAGTGTTGGTTGCTTGAGGAACTCCAGCTCAGAGTTGATGCGCTGATGACTGAGCTTTGAAGACTGTGACTAATCAGGGTGGGGGAGAGTTACTGGATGCTGTGTTTCAGGAGGCAGTCACACCTCTTAGTTTAACTACGTCAAATATGGGGAGTGGTCAGGGACAGGAAGGTGTGACTAAGAGCAAAGCAGGTAGGAGGATCCAGGAGGTAGTGCTGAAGGAGCCTCAGCCCTTGAGCTTGTCTAACAAGTTTGAGATTCTTGCTCCCTGTGTGGATGAGAGCAGGGGCTGTAAATAGGATGATTAAACTGACTATAGCACTGTGCTACAGGGAATCATTCAAGAGCAGGGAGAGAAGAGAAATGTAATTGTAGGGGATAATGTGGTCAGGGGAATAGACACTGTTCTCTACGACCAGGATCAGGAGTCACGCAGGATGTGTTGTCTACCTGATGCCTGGATTCAGGATATTTCAATCTGGCTGCACAGGAACTTGGAGTGGGAGGGGAAAGATCCAGTTATCATGATCCACATGGGTACCAATGATATAGGTAGAAAGAAGAAAGAGGTTCTGCTGGGGCAATATGAGCAGCTCTGGGCTAAACTAAAAATCAGAACCAAAAAGGTAATAATCTATGGATTATTAACTGGGATGCAATCTAATTGACATAGGGTCAAAGAGATTAAAGAGTTGAACACGTGATTGGTGTGGAAGAAATGAGTTGAATTCATGAGACATCGGCACAGTGCTGGGGAAGGGGAGAGGGGTTCCGATAGGGCAGGCTCCACCTGGATCATGCTGGTAACCGAGTCCTGGTGAATCATGTAACTAGGGCTGCAGATAGGGCTTTAAACCAAAAATTAAGGGTTGTCTTCCATTGCACAGAAAGTTATAAAATCAATGGCAAAGGAGAAGGTACGATTGCAGGTTATTGATGGGGTTAACTATTACCAGAAAATAAAAGGAAGGGACAAAATGTGTAAATATCATGTTGTGTCAAGGAACCATAGAATTGTAGGCAAATTTGATAATAGAACAAACTTAAAGGCTTTTTATCTTTATGCACAAAGCATTCGGAATAAGGTGGATGAACTAGTGGCACAAATCGAGGTGAATGAACATGGGGAAACATGGTTATAAGGAAATGAAAACTGAGAACTGAACAGGGATATCTGATCTTTCGGAGAGACAGAAGGAATGGACATGGTGGTGGGGTAGCATTTTTATTAAGAGATGAAATGAGGACAGTTGTGAGAGGTGATTTAGGGTTGGATCATGTAGAGTCTACAGCAAGGGGAAGAAAACATTGGTAGGAGTAGTGTACAGATCCTTAAACCATAGCCACTGTGTGGAAAAGACAACAAACCATCAAATAACAGGACAATGTAAAAAAAAAAGAGCAATAATTGTGTGACTTTAATCGTCTTGTTGATTGGGTTAATCAAATTCAAAGGGGTAGCCATGACAATGAATTCACATAGTGCATTAGCGATAGTTTCCCAGGGCAATGTGTCATGGAGCCAATTGGGGAGCAGGCTATCTTGGATATGGTAACGGGTGATGAGGCAGCTTTTCTATGTTTCTATGTTTATTAAGAGACCTCAGAGTAAAAGATCTCTTAGGAAGTTTACAACATATATTAATGACTTGGAGAAAAGAAATGAATGTACTGCAGCCAAATTTTTCAGACCGCACCACAATAAGTGCAAAGGCAACTTGCAAGAGGATGCAGACAGTTTGTAGAGAGACATTGATAGGTTAAGTAAGTGGGCAAAGAGTAAGTAAATGGAATATAAAGTGGAAAATGCAAAGTTGTTCTTTTTGGAAGGGAGAACAAAAGAACAGAATATTACTTAAGTAGAGAAAAAGTGCAGAAAGCTTAGCACAAAGGAACTTGTGGCTATTTGTGCCCAGAACACAGAAAGCTAACATACAAGGCCAGCAGCTAAACAGAAAGGCTAATGGAATTAAAAAAAACCTGAAAGAACTGCAGATACTGGAATCAGGAAATAAACAGAAATGAATGGTGTGGAATTGAAGTTACACTGAGAAATCAATCTGACTAGTTAGGATGCAAAATTACTGGTGTTATTCACTGAGCTGTCAGGATTTCTTACTGTACTGGTAATAGTTGGTAAGAAATGTATAGCAAAAAGCATTATTGAGGACAAAATAGAGAAGCACAAACCTTCCCCATGGGGCAAAGTTGTCTGTTGCCTTGCTACATCAAATTATGACCCATTGTATAAAAATTCATTTTGATGCATGGCCTTGCAGCTAACTGAAGGGAAATTAGCATGAATTTTCACCTGAATATATTTAAGGGCAACAAACTGCAGCCTTAGGATTATTTAAGCTGTATTGGTTGCTTTTATGTTAAGACCAATTGTTTTACAGAAACATTTCACCAGGACTTTTTGCTTAATCATTCAGTGGATGACAGTAATGTTGATTGGACCGGCATTTATTGCCTGTCCCCAGTTGCCCTGAAGAAAGTGATGGTGAGCTGTCTCTGGAACCATTACAGTCCATGTGCTGTAGATACACCCACATTGATTTTTTGGGATGGAGTTCCCAGATTTCACTCAGTGACACTGAAAGAACAGCGATATATTTCCGAGACAGGATGGTGAGAAGATGGGAGGGGAACTTGCAGTTGGTGGTGTTCTCATGTTTGTACACTCCTTGTCCTTCTCAATGGTAGTGGTCATGGGTTTGGAAAGTGCTATTGAAGGAGCCTTGGTGAATTCCTTGAAGATAGTATACACTGTTGCTACTGTGCATTGGTGGTGGAATGACTGAATGTCTGTGGATATGGTGCTTTGTCCTGGATGGTGTCAAGCTTCTTGAATGTTAGAACTGCAATGGTCCAGGGAAGTGGAGAGTATGCCATCACACTCCTGACTTGTGCCTAACAGATGTGGACAGGCTTTGGGGGCAGATCAGGAGATGAATTACTCCTATAGGATGCCTAACATCTGATCTGCTCTGCACTGTATTTATTATGGTTAGCCCTACTCAGTTTCTGGTTGATAGACTGAACATTTGTTTCTGTTCTAACGGCCACCTTCCAAACAGTTTCCTTAATGAAAAAAAAGCAGTACAATTTGAAGATGTAGTTGCGAGACCTGTCGGACTGGTTTGTATTCACAGAGAGTGCTATATAATTTCAGCTTCTATTTACTGCAAATGACCCGAGTTTATTGTCTATCAGGTAGCAGCACTGCTCAGAGGCTGTAGCCCAGTCTCTGGTGCCCTGACAACAGGGAATGGCATCTACAAAACACGGGGTAAGCCGTTGGTTGTCATTCCAAATTCCCAAATCAATAATTGCAACGTTATTTATATTCGGAAAAGCTTCCGTATTCCCACACTTTTACAGCCCGTTGGACTGCAGCTATCGTCTTGCATTACTGCAATATTATTAACAAATACAAGTCAACGTCTTTGTGCGTGCTCATTAGGAAAGTACCTGCTTATGGCAGAAGTTTCCAACTTCCCTGCGGCAGAACTTGGCCGCACTTTTTTCCCCAGAGGCATGCTTGCTTGTGTCTGACTCTCAGCTATTCCTGGGCAATGGGCCACAGGTTCACTGAGGACAGCTTTAATGCCCCTTGTTCCAACGAAGCCACTGCCGTCTCGTCGGCACAGTCGCTCCTCGTTAGTAACCTGACACTTTCTCACCTGTCAATGCATAGGACCAAGAGAACTCTTAAAGGTACACGTCCCTGCCCACAACTCGGTAGAATGCTGTACTCTGATCCAAATGATCGGAGGTAAAACAAGATATTTAGCAATTCCACGATAAACATTTGGCACTAGTGGTTGAGCAGGACGGTTTTACACACAATGCAGATCCGATCAGGTGTATTTGCAATTTTTATTTATTTTAAAATCTGTCAAAAACACTACTGGCAACTACTGATGAATTACTGATTGAGATCTTCCAGTCCCAGTACCGATGAATATGAGATATTTTGATTTGATTTGATTTATTATTGTCACATGTACCTAGATACAGTGAAAAGTTTTGTTTTGCATTCAGTACAGGCAGATGGTACCATACAAAGATCATGGGGTGATACAGCGGAGCGAGAATACAAAGTAATGGAGAAGAAGCTGTTCTTGAACCTGTTTGTATGTGTGTTTAAGCTTTTGTATCTTCTACCTGACGGAAAGGGTTGGAAGAGGTTACAGCCAGGATGGGAGGGGTCTTTGATGATGTTGGCTGCCTTTCCACAGCTTCAAGAAGTGTAGATGGAGTCAATGGATGGAAGGTTGGCTTCTGCGATGGACTTTGCTTTGTTTACTGCTATTGCGGAAGTGGGAGGGTGGGGAGACAATGTTGTGAGTAGAGTCTATGTTTCTGTGGGAGTGGGATGTGTGGGAATGGAGAGGGTGAGCAGAGGTCAAGGGGTCAGGCAGGATGTAGTGAGCAGAGGTCAGGGTTCAGGGCTGTGTGTGGTGAGCAGGAGTCAGGGGTCAAGGTTGGGTTGCGTGTGGTGAGCAGAAGTCAAGAGGTCAGGGTTATTTGTGGTTAGCAGGGATCAGGGGTTAGGGCTGGGTGTAGTGAACAGGAGTCGGGGGTTGGGGCTGGCTCACGTGATCAGGGGTCAGGGCTGGATTCCTGAACAAAGAGAGATTCCAATCCTTCAATGTCCAGATTGTTGTGATCACAGCCAACAATTCCTACCCATTATCCAGGGAACTGTCACCATTCATACCTTCCACACAACTCCCTGGTTCATCCAATGATTGCCCCCCCAAATCATTTCTAGGGTTGGCTTTGGGTGAGAAATGGTACCACCAGAAGTACGGCTAGTGACCCCAGTGTGGAACCTTGGCCTGATGCTTGACAATGCTATAATGCTGCCCACACATCCAGTAGAGTAATCATTAAAGGGCCAGTGGTCTTCTGAAGCCATGCTTCCACTGTCAGGAACATCCAGTATTCACTGGACAGGGTCTTCAGAGTAGTGATTGTTTGCTATGTTCTACACAACCTACCTCAATGACACAGTAAACTTAAAGAGGAGGGGAGATGGACCAGCCAGCTGTATCCTCAAATTAGAAAGAAGGAGTCTATGATGAAGATGTTGACTTAGACAATATTGGCATTAAAAAAGCTGGACAATAGTAAGATGAGGCAGACAGGCCCAAGGATAACATAATAACAACTACATTTCATAACATGTGAATGAATATAACGTGAATATTGTGGACAATTGTGGCTTTTTTGTGATGCATAAGTCTTACTGCTCTCAAGGGAGTGCTAGTTTTATGAAGGTGAGATTTTTATATTGCTCAGCATATTGTATGTTCTCTGTTTCTTTTGAATGGATAAAGCATTAACAGGATTAAACAAAGTCAAGAAGGGTTTGTGAAAAGGAAGTCATGCTTAAGTAATCTTCTAGAGTTTTTTGGGGAATGTAATTAACAGAATACGTATAGGCCAGTGAATGGTGTATTTGGATTTCAAAAGGAAAGTAGGCAACATTAAAGCACACAGGATTGGAGACAATGTGAAACCAGAAATGGTTGACAGTCTGGAAGCAGAGAGTGGAAGTAAATGGGTCTTTTTCCAGATAACAGGTGTTCACTGCATAGATCAGTGCTTGGGCTGCAACTGTTCAGAATATACATAAATTATTTGGATGAGGGAATCAATTGCAATATTTCTCAGTTTGCTGATGTCACAAAACTAGGTGGGATTGTGAGTTGTGAGGAGGATGCAAGGAGGCTTCAGGGTGATCCAGATAAGTTCAGTGTGTGAACAAACACACGGTAGGTGCAGTATAATTTGGTTAAATATGAAGTTATGCAGTTTGGTGTGCAAAGCAGAAAGGCAGAGTATTATTTAAATGGTGATACATTGAGAAATGTGGATGTGCAAAGGAATTCAATATGAATCTGGAAATATGATTTGAATGATGACCATGAAACTTTTGTCAATGGTCGGAAGAACCCATTTAGTTCACTGATGTAGTGGAAAGGAAATCTGTCATTCTTATTGGTCTGGTTTATGTGTGACTCCAAATCCTCAGCTGTGTGGTTGACTCATAAGTGCCCTCTGGGCAATTAGAGATGAGCAAAAAATGCTGGTTAAGGCATATCCCATGAATGAATTTTTAAAAAGTAAAACCATTTGGGTGTCCTTGTATTCAATCAATGAAAACAGACATGCAGTTGCAGCAAGCAATTAGGAAACGAATTATATATTGGCCTTCATTTTAAGAGGATTCAAGTTCAGAAGTAGGGATATCTTACAGGGCCGTGGTAAGACCATAGCTAGAGGGTTGTGTGCAGTTTCAGTCTCTATACCTAAGAGAGAATGTACTTGCTATATAGGGAGCACAGAGGAGCTTCACTGCCATGTTCATATGAGGAGAGATGAGGTCAACACAGCCTGTATTCACTAGAGTTTAGAAAGATGACAGGAGTTTTATTGAAATGTATAAAATTCTAACAGGACAAGGCAGACGAGACGCAGGGAGGATTTTTCGCCTGGTTGGGGAGTCTTGAACCAGGAGTCCTTGTCTCAGGATATGTACCAGGCCATTTAGGACTGGGATACGGAAACATTTCTTCACCTATAGGGTGGCCAACCTGTGGAATTTGCTACCACAGGATGCTATGGAGGCCGGGTCACTGAGTATATGGAAGAAAGAAGTTGATACAGTTTTAGAAAGTAAAGGCATCATGGGGTATAGCGAGAAAGCAGGAATGTGATATTGAGGTAGAGGATCAGCCATGATCGTACTGAATGGTGGAGAAGGCTCAAAGAACCAAATGGCCTACTCCTGCTTCCAGTTTCTACATTTCTAATAAACTTCTGGCCTGTTTGGTGGCTGGAGCATCACTATGGAGTTTTGTGATTTTAACACACAACCTTTTACTTACAAGGCACATTCTGTGTCACTGAGATGAAGATGCTGATTGTCTTCTTTTCATTCCTAGGATTCACTTTCCTCTTCTCTCTGTTGGCATTCTAATTCTAATCTCTGCTACTTCAGTTTTAGTGATTAGTTGTTGCCATATGTACTGAGATACAGCGAAAAATGTCATTTTGCGTGCTGTACAGACAGATAGTACCATACAAAGTGCATTAGGGTAGCAGAACAGAGTGCAGAATGCAGCATTACAGCTGCACAGTTCAGACAAGAGGTTGATTTGCTTTATCTGCTCTGCTCTACTTCAATGTACTTCAAAGCACTGACCTCTGATTATGGTGCAAGATATGTGCTGTCATCTTCATGAAAGTAAAGATTCAAGTAGTAAAGTTTGAGCTTGAATTTAAATTTGCTGGAGGAATTAGGCATTGGCTTTTGAAACCTACATCATATTTGAACTCCATAATCCCATCAGGTGAACACTTCCCCCTCAATACCACATTTCTTTGAAAAGAGATCATAAGGGAAAGAAGATCCTATTTAAATTTAAATTCTAGCAAAGTACTGCAGATGATGGAAATTGGAAATAAAAATAAGTTCTGGAAATATCAGGCAGATTTGGCAGCATATGTGGAGAAAGAAACAGTTAACACATTCATTCCAATAAAATATTGAACTCAAGTATGCTAAAGAACATCAGAGCATAAGGAATTTTGCATTGCATTTACTCCTGTTTCTGATTAACCCAGGTGCCAAGTTGGAAAAGTGTCATGTTTGTATGATATGGGAGGCTTTTTTAAAGAAATATTTTTGTCATGTTGATGGCTACAATTCAGTTTCTTTAAATAGGCAATTGTTGTATGAAATAAATCGTGCATTTTTCTTGCTTGTTACAGGGTTGCATGCCAAGCTTTAATAAATAAACCATCATCATGGGAAATATATAGAAGCCCTACAGTGTGGAAACAGGCCATTCAGTCCATCAAGTCCACACTGACCCTCCAAAGAGCATCCCACCTAGACCCACCCCCTACCCTAGACACCATGGGCAATTTAGCACTGCCAATCCACCTAACCTGCACATCTTTGGACTGTGGGAGGAAACCATGCAGACATGGGGAGAATGCACAAACTCCGCATAGCCAGGCTGGAATCAAACCTGGGTCCCTGGTGCTGAGAGGCAGCAGCACTAACTACTGAGCCATCATGCTGCCCATCTTCCCCCATCTCACAGAATAAGGGAAATAGCCTATGCATATACACTGAAACTACTTGGTTAGATTGATTTATAGGTGATGAAATGTACGGAAGTAGAAAGACACGGTGAAATGTGGTGCAGTGCAATAATCGGATTTACACAATACATTAGGTATTTTCTCCGCTTAAATCGTGAAAACAGGTAAGGATTTCTCCTTAAAGTTTCCTCAAATTCCCAAAAAGAAATCTCATTGGTAAAACTTGCACAAAAATCTTTCCCTTATGCTGCTCCTATTGAGTGTTCATAAACAGAAGGTAACGAGAGAAATGAAGACTTCAAAAAAGTATACAGTCTTTTATTTCAAAGATTGGCTCATTTATTTTCAAAAGTCATAGAATCAAATTCTTAATAAATTACAAATAACAGGTCTTTGGATAACTTCACTGTGATATTTCAGTATTCAGTCTGTTGTGCCTGTTTTGTGGGATCATTTTCTTGAAGGCTTGGTAACTGAGGTGGTCACTTTCAGCCACTGCATTGGCTCAGAAACTCAGAAACCATCTTCAGTTTGTCTCGCTCCTTGCAGCTACAGTATCTAAAAATTGGAGCAACACTTCTTGGTCTGAAAATAGAATGCAAAGAAAAGACCTTGTAATTCGCTTCCTAAAAACAACATGACTGCTGAGCACTTCATGTGTTTACCATGAAAGGTATATTCTGCTTGTATCATCTCTGGTAGAATCAGCCCATTTGTCAAAATTAAACAACATTGGTCAAATACTGCACAAGACAACACACTTGCTTACCTCTTTGCTAAGTAGGGGTGGCGATGGCCTAGTGGTATTATTGCCAGCCAGCAACACCCTCATCCCATGAATGCATTAAAAAAAAGGCTTTGAAGGATGCTGAGATAATAGGAACTGCCAATGCTGGAGAATCTGAGATAACAAGGTGTAGAGCTGGATGAACACAGCAGGCCAAGCAGCATCAGAGGAGCAGGAAAGCTGACGTTTCGGACGTAGACCC